CTCACCTCAGCCTCCCAAAGGCGCGGGATTACAGGCTGAGCCACCAAGCCCGGCTAAAGGTGAGTTTTTAAGAGGCATTTGAGCCGGGTGCAGTGGCTCACGCTTGTAATCCCAGCACTTTGGGAGGTGGAGGCGAGAGGATTGCCTGAGCCCAGGGGTTCAAGATCACCTGGGCAACTTGACAAGACCTGGTCTCTACAATGAACAAACAAACAAAAAAAATGAGCTGGGCATGGTGGCGTCTATAGTTCCAGCTACTTGAAAGGCTGAGGTGGAGGGATCGCCTGAGACCAGCAGGTCAAGGCTGCAGTGGCCATGACCGTGCTGCTGCACTCCAGTCTGGGCAACAGAATGAGGCTCCACCTAAAAAAAAAAGTGGGGAGGGTTGGGAGGAATTTGAAGAAAGGCTAAAAGGTTTTCAGTAGGTCATAAAGACATTTTGGGTGAGGGGGCCAAGTTTTAATATGTGAAGGTGAGTATGAAATAAACTAGGTATGAATCTGTTGGGTAATCACTGGCCGCCAAGTGAAAGACTATCTCACAATTACCCTATTAGAGACAGTCCAGTCATAGGACGTGACCTGCATCAATTCCTAAACCAAACAAGATAACTGTCCCCAGAGCAAGCCAGTGGACCACAGAAAGTGATGCCTCCCACATCTAGTCCTGCAACCACCCAGAGCACACTGAGGGGCTTAGCTATTCATTAATTTAACAAATGTTTAATAAGCTCTTGCTACAGGAAGGGCCCGAGTGTTGGAATTACCACAGCGAATGAGACAGCTAAGCTTCCTTTCCTTAGGGTGTTTACATATGGGACATTAAACAGACAGAAAACAGAGGGACTGCTCGGAAAGTGACCCACGTGGGAGACTTGCGTCCGTCCCCGCACATGCAGAGCCCTCCACCCGCTGGCCCCGGCCCCTTCCTGACCTCATAGTGGCTGACTTGGTCTCCACAGTTCACACCAAGCCATAGAGAAGCGTGTTTAACTCCCCAAATAGGCTGTGTTGTCTCTTGCCTCTGTTTTTTGCACCTGCAGTTTCCTCAGCATAGAAACCTTTCTGGAAAACTCTTCTCTCCATCTTCTAAGTCTCAGTTCAAGTTAAGACGCCTTTGAAGCATTCCTGGCACCTCCAGGCAGGCCTCCCTTCAACCCCAGGGTGCTTTGTAGTGACCTCCACTGATTCCAACAACACCAAGACGACAAATGCCACGATGCCCTAACTCATGCCGGACGCTGTATGGACCAGCTGACACACAGTAAAAAAGTGTACAATCACATGGAACTTTTTGTTTGCATAACAGGTCTCTCTAGTAGGCCCCCAAGGTCTTCAGAGCCGAGTGTTTACTTTGCAGTGGAAATGCAAACCCCAGACTCTGGAGCCAGACTACAGTTCGGCATCTTAGCTCTGCCAACAGTGTGAGCCTGGGAAAACTTCCTGAACCTCCCAATGCCTCCATTTCTCCACCTGCAAAATGAGGATAAGCAGTGGTGCTTACCTCAGAGGGTTATTCTAAGGATTAAATGAGTTAACACACACAAAGGACTCGGACTGTGTCGCGCACATTGTACACACTCATTAGCGTTAGAAAAAACAAAAACTCAGGAACTTGCCCATTCACATCTACATTCACAGCAATTAGCACAAAGGCCTGGCTGTCAAACAAAGAGCTGATGAGCCAATGAGTGAGAAATAGGGCCTCTGAAACTTGACCTCCAGAGTCGTTCTTTCTTTCAGCGGAGGCATCTTACAACCGGTCGTTATTGCAGGCGAAGAAGCCGAGGCCACAGAGTGTCAGTCGCTCGTCTGTCTCAAGACTACAGAGCAACAGGCATCCCTGAACTCTCTCCTGTAGAATGGGGGCCTGCAAGTTTTTCTGTGAAGAGCCAGAGAGAAAATCCGTGGGCCTTGTGGGCCTGCGGGTCCCCGTCACAACTCTACTCTGCCACCGTATTTACGTCCTAGACTCTCTGCGGACACTCGCTGTGGCTGCCTGCCTTCCAGGAAAACTTGATTGACAGCAACAGGCAGCAGGTCAGTCCCACCTGTGGGCTGAAGTTGCCACCTCTGGCTTTAGAACAACAGCCACGACCAGCGAGGACTGGCTCTGCTTCAGTGAAGTCGGCTGCTGTTGTGCCTGCCTCACAAGCAAGGAACGCGTGGGGTGGAGAACTGAAGTCACTTGCCCACAGACAGGCGGCAGCTGTTGGCGGCCCTGAGATCTCAGGTGAGGCCTCCGCTTCCCGTCACCTTGCTTGTGAGCTGGTTGCTGCCTCTACACGCAGACAACTGTTCATGCTCAAATCCAGTTTGTCCAACTACAAACATTTTGGAAGTCATGCATTTAACAAGATCTTTTAGCTGGATATGGTAGTTCACGCCTGTAATCCCAGTGCTTTGGGAGGCCAAGGCAGGAGAATCACTTAAGCCCAGGAGTTAAGTGAGAGCAGTCCAGACAACATAGAGAGACCCCCATCTCTACAAAATTTAAAAATGAAAAACTTGGCCCAGCTCGGCGGCTCATGCATGTAGTCCCAGTTACTTGGAAGCTGAAGTTGGAAGATCCCTTGAACCCAGGAAGTCAAGGCTTCAGTGAGCTATGATCACGCCACTGCATTCCAACCTGGGCCATAGAGCAAGACCCTGTCGCTATCCACCCCTCAAAAGATCTTACAGTTGGCAGAGTTTTCTTTTCAGCATCTTGTACGCTGATAAAATATCAATGCTTGGCTTTGCATAGAGAAAAAGACAAGTCAGCTAAAAAGGGGTTGGCGCTACTGGGACCTTGCTCATTTGGCATCCAGATGTCATAGGGCAGCTGTCCCACATTGTCTCGGCACCTAAGGGTGGCAGCGGACACAGCCATACATGATGTGGCTGGGAGATATAGCTCTTACCACTCCAGCTGCTAGATATCTGCTAAGAGAGGTACCTAATGCCTTCAGCCACAAAATTAAGATTTTAAGAGTTTCACACAGGCTCAAACTAAAATGATAAAGTATCCTGGGGATAAGATGAAAAGTTCTGCCATTGTGTACTCGAAATTGAAACCCCTGTAACACGCAGGACAGGGAGAATACAATTCCAGGGATTTTCATGGCTGTGGTTGCTGCAGTGAGGTGACAGAATGCCAGGGTCCATTGACAGAAGCGTGGTGTTGAGAGATGAGAGAACGGACCCTCTTTACCTCCTCGGTCAGCCCACACCTGAGGCCCTAGCAGGTTAGACAGTCTTTGAACAAAGGCCAGGAAGACGGTCAGGTTGTTGAAAGGCTCAAGAAATAAGAAACCACACATGAAACACACTCATGCAAGGTGGTGATCACTGTAAACTCTGGAGCCTGATCCTGGGGTTCAAGTCCCAGCACTTCCAGCGTCCCGCTCTGTGGCCCTGAGCAAACTGCTGAGTTTGCTCCCAGGTTCGTTTATTCACCCACCTCATAGGACTGTTGTTAAGAATTAGGTGAATATAAGTAAATATAAGTAAAAAACTACAGGAAGCACAGCATCGTCAACACCTATGTGTTGGCTCCCATAATTAGGAATTATTTAACCTAGAAAGGACAAAATTCACAAGACCCAAATAACTGAGGGCTCTAGCTAAACTCACTTTGTGTATCTCTGCAGAGTAGGGTTGAGAGTTGGGTTCAACGTAAGAAAAGCTTGAGAGGCAGTGATCCCCTACTGCTAGTGACACCCAAACAGAACCTGGATGAACTGTCTCACAGCCATACTGCAGAAAAGAATTCTACTTTGGGGAAGAGTAGTCTGCTCCTAAAATCCCTTCTGTGTGGTGAGTCAAGATGCCTAATCCAAAGACTCCAATATAAGAGGTTAATTCACAGTTGTACCGCCATGAAAAATCACGTTGTACGTTTCTTATTACGGGCTTATTAGTTACCTGTTAGTGGTGTGAAATGGGGCAGTTTGTTAAGCTATCTGGGTCTTAGAATCCTCATCTGTAAAAGGAAAAAGGCAAGGTCTTCCTTAGACAGGCAGTACAATGTAGTGGGTTTAATATATGAGCTCTGGAGTCAAATGATCTGGGTTTGAATCCCAAATATTGCACTTTCAAGCTGGGCTTCTTTGAGCAAGGTAAATACCCTCTGTTTCCTCACCTGATAATAACTGTACCTATCTCAAAGGATTGCTATAAAGTTTAAATAATTTTTAAATGTATACAAAGCCCCATTATGTTGTTGCTATTATTGTTGTTATGAGATTGCAATGAGAAAATGCATCGCAAGAATACCAATTGGTTTTCTAACCCTAAGAACTGGCAAAATCATAAACAACTGAAAGTATCATTTTTTATTCATTTCTGCACATAAATTAAGCCCCTTCTATGCATTATGTGGACTAGATGTTGCAAGATAGACAATCAATTGGATATATGAGTTATTGCTTTGAGGATTTTATAATCATGCCAGGGAGAGAAGAAATACAAACCTAAAACCTGTGAATTGCTGTAGAATATAATTCAGTATACACAAAAAATAGTCTAAAGTTTATTTATCCAATATTAGTAAGTATCAAGAGGACCTGAATTAATGATATCTACAGACTTGATTCATCAACAATTTGGTGGTAGCGTCCTCCCCATCACAAATAATCATAATTTATCTTTCCTAGGAAGATACAGTAACAATTTTAACAAATACCTCAACATCTGAAGACAGGAAGTAAGTAGCAGCAGAAAGGATGTCTGAACATTGCTGATAGTTTTATGGTGTTAAACTTGAACATTTAGATGAAGTGCTCAGGTTCCTAGAAAAAGATAAACTTACCAAAACTGACCAAAGAAAATAGAAAGCATGGTTAGTCCTGTAACACTTAAGGGAATGGAAACACTGGTTGAAATTTTTCTTATAAAAAAAACACCAGAACCAGAGTTTACCAGTGAATTCTACCAAATTAAAAACAAACACCAGTTTATTCAATTTTTGGTCAGACTACTTCAGACAACAGACAAAGAAAGAGCCTCCCCTAATTATTCTGTGAAGCTAGCACAACTTTAATAACAAAACAAGGGAAAATTTCAAAGAGAAAAGTTGTCAACCCATTTTATTCTTATTTATAGATGCAAAGACACTAAACACAACATCAGCAAACCAAGTCCAACAATATATATATATGGAAGACAGTAAAACTACTGCATGATCAAGTCTGGATTATGTGACTAATCCAAGATTGTCTAAATAGTAGAAAATGTATGATTGTCATTCAGTGTATTAACAGATAAAAGGAAAAAAATGTATGACTACTCAAATGAGGAAAATTAATTTTATATTTTATTAACTCTAGTAGGCAGTTACATTAAGAAAAAAAAAGCCCTTAGTAAACCAGAAAAAAGGTAACTTCTTTAACTTGATAAAGAGTATCCACTAGAAAACCAAACCGACATCAAACATTCTGAATGGGGGAAAAGCTATAAGCATCTTCTTGAAAATCAGGACCCAGATAACAATATCGCTCTGTATAATAATGCACTGGAAGTTCTAGGCAATGCTAAAAGACAAAAAGATGCAATTTAAAGTATAAGTATGGAAACGTTTTTAAAAAGTAAACAAATGAATATATGAATGAATATGTGAGAGAGTGGAGGAAGGAAAGAGGGTGTAGAACAAAGCACCCAGAACTTGTTATATCTGAATTTCCATCATGTCTGGGGTCCTAATTTTCTGACTGGTTGTTAGCAAAGCATGCCACTCTCTAATGTTCTTAAACCTCCTTATGCATAAAATTAGGACTTGAAACTACTTTGGTTAATTAGGAAGACAGTGATGCCATCAAAAGGGACAGAAAATATGGGAAGAAGTACCGGCTTAGGAGACGAGAGTGAACTATTTCGGTTTGGAGATGTGACATTTAAGCTGTGTTCAGAACATCCATGGAGAGACAGAAGTCGACAGACAGTAGAATTATGTCTGAAGCTTTGGGAAGTCATCTGAGCTTTATCTCAGTCCTAGTGGAAGAAGATGTAAGACAACAGCTATATTGACTACACATACTGAGTGTTCATTAAACTTCCAGGGTTTTACACAGATTTAAATTCTCACAAAAGCCTTGTGAGATAGGCACATTATCCCTCACAGTTTACAGGTGAAGACACAGAAGTCAAATAGCTTACCTAAGACCCCCCAGCCTCAAAGTTGTGGTGTTCCACTCAAGGCTGATTCCAAAGTCCTGCTCTCCTGCTCTGCTGCGCTAATCTACCTTTTGGAATCAGATCTGATTCATCGTCTTTTCTCCCCTGAAGAGCTAAGGGATCTTGGGCACGTTGTTACTGCTTCCTAAGTCTGAGATTTCTTCTCATGAAAAAGGAGAAAACAGTACTAATAGCATGGAGTTGTTATGTAGATTAAACCAGATAATGTAGTAAAGCATCTGGTATTTTTTTTTTAAAAAAGGATGTACCATGAATGGTAGTTCTTTATCCTTCCTCCCCAAGGCAACCTCCCAGAAGCAGACACAGAACAAGGACAGAGGCGCTGACAGGCACGTAGCACACTAGAGCCATTTTAGGGGTTCCAACATCAGTGGTATTTTCTTACGTTCCAAGTTATCCATCCTCCCACCACCATCCTCCCACCTTCTTTGCAGACAGACCAGGCCGACCGAAAGGGCAAAAGGTAAAGATCAAAGCTCAAAGGGAAATCGATGTTGAACCGAACAGATGACTTAAACCCTTCCTCCTACTCTAAAGCACTATGTTCCCTGATCTAATCTTAGAGCAGGGAAGATGGGGGTGGAGGCCGTGTGTATTGTGAAGGGAAAGCTCAAATGGGACAACAGGAAGCTTGCTGGGCGATTAACTCATTAGTGCAGGCTGAATACAAGATGACAGGCTCTGTGTCAGATCAGTTTGGTATATGCTCCTCAGTGCTCCACCAATGGCCACGGAAAACATCTCCTGACCCCCCAAGCCTCAGTATCTGCAACTGCAAAATGGGGCTATCAACATGGCACTCACATATTTGTCATTAAGCTAGGCAATACTTGCTATGGTTAGAATGTGTCCCCTCCAAAATGTAAGTCAAAATTTCATCCCCATTCGTGGTAGTATTAAGAGGTGGGGCCTTTTGAGAAGTGATTAAGTTATAAGGATCCTGCCCTCATGAATGGATTGGTGACTAACAAAAGGGCCGGAGAGAACTAGCTTACGTCCTTTTTGCCTTTCCTCCTTCTGTCACGTGAGGACACAGGACTCATCCCCTCTGGAGGACGCAGCAACCAGGTACCCGCTTGGCGGCAGGGATTCTGCCCTCACCAGACACTGAACCTGCCGCTGTCCTGGTCTTGGACTTCCAAGCCTGCATCACTGTGAGAAACATATTTCTGTTCTTTGTAAACCACCCAGTCTCCAGCATTTTGCTACAGCAACACAAATGAATCAAGACAATAGTGAACACTAAATCACATAGTATCTGGCACACATTCAGAAATGTGCTAAAAGGCAAGTGTGCCTAGCTACCGATGTGAATCTCAAAATAATCACCAGACGTATTTTCTATGATAGCCTATTTATCCGTACTTAGAGAAGAATCCAAACCAAAAATCTTGTTTGGCTAGTGCAAGAACAATCTGTTGCCTGCAGCAGAACGCTGAAACCCAGGTGTTCATCGGCAGAGAACACAACTGGAGTTTTAATAAGCAGCCTGGAGTTTTAAAACTGGAGTTTTAATAAGCAGGGGCAAGCAGCCTGAAAAACATCTCAGATTATCCTTGTGATTCATCTTGGTGCTCATGGACAAGCAAGTGCTAACCTGGTGACATGTGAAACTGATTCAAGGTATGAAACCTCACGTTTTCTACAAGCTGAAAGAGAACTCGAAGGATTTCGATGTAAATAACACCTTCAAATAGTGCGTAATTTTTTAAAAATCATTTAAAAATCTTTATGCATTCTAAATGGTATTGCCCTAAGGCAAAGTACGCCCAACAGCCCAAAGTCCCACAGCTCCCTCAGACCGAAGCCTGTTTGCTAAGTGAGAGATCTGGCTGTGAGGTACCGATGAACACTCTTTTGGTCCACTGTCTTGGGCCTGCAGGCTTCTTTCTCTCTGTGCAAAGGTGCCATAGGAACAGCAGCTGCTCGCAGACCAGTCGGGGATCTTGCAACAAAGTGTTCACAGTGTTTCTGCATGGAAATACATAGGTGCTTTACTTTCTAAAGAGTCCAAACTCTGCACCCCTTCTTCTCTTCTGCCCAATGAACGACCCTCCAAGTCATGCAGGATTTGTGATCCGAGCAGGCTCAGCGACCCTGGCATCTGATGTTTACAGTCTAATGCGCCATCAATAATAACAGAGACAGAACCAAAACAAACCCCAAACTCTGCCCTTTGAAAAGGTTTATCTTGTTTGTCATAGGTCCAAAAAAATTGTTACTTTTTTCACTTTCTAAATCCTTAGGCAACACCCAAGTCTGTTTCAAGTAGAATCTTCAGCTTTAAGAAAGTCGGCCACAGGCCAGAAGGCCCATGACAACATGAAAGGTCCCAGGTCCACCAGGGGAAGGAGGCCAGTTGGAAGCTGAAGCATCACCTGCATGCAGCCTACCTGTGTGGTTTACCCTCATTTGTGCCCCCACATCTCCATGATAAAATAAAAATTTAAAAAAGAAGAAAGCCAAAGAAAAGAAAGTCTGTCACATTATCTTACATAATATTCTAATTACTTCCAAGAATTTATTCTTTCCAGATCTGCAATCATTTACAAACATTAAGACATACTTCAATGAATCACACTGAGAATTCACAGAATTGCAGGCTTAGGAGTGGATTACACTTGCAATGAATTTTCTACCAGAACTTAGAAACAAACGACATTATTTGTACAGTGAATGTGGCACATACAATCCTAAAGTTTTCAATAATTCCTGCTGCCAAACACAGAAGTCAGGGAGTGAAACACTAGAACAACCCAATCTTAGCTTTTTGTGTATTTCTTTTACATAATAACTAACTATGTAGCCACTTGCAAAAGTATAGTAGAGACAAAGATTTCACATTGTCAGCCACTGCAGTGACATGGTAAATGTGTTACTGCCACAGGGGCACTTATTCCTCTTTTAACCAAAACCACGAGGAATAATCATAGCAAACATCCACTGACAATTTACAGACACCTATGAACTGAACACGAATGATCACATTTGTGCCTCACTATAATTCATTTTACCTATGAAAAAGCTGAATCTCAGGCTTCCTCGCCCGCCATCACTTGCACAGTAAGGTGCACAGTAGTATTTGAACTGGGGGCTTTATCATCCAGCCTAGCGCCAACCAATGCACATGCAGAAACTCACCAGGAAGAAAAGCATTTGTAAAGGCACAGTGGACTCATAGAAACGCCGGCATTGGCAGAATTGTTTTAGAGTGGAAAGCCTGGGCTTGGGGCTAGAATTACCTGGGCTAAGGTGCAGTTCTCTCTTTGTGCAGGAGGAGGGACAACCCACTTCATCTTTCTAAAGTTCAGCCTTCTCGTCTCTATACACCCAACAGAAATAACATTTTTAAAAATGCAGGCATAATTTTCAGAGTGACATGTTCAGGTCTTCAGTGTATCTTCCAGTTAGCTTGGATGAATGCATATCAAGACCAGAACATTTCCATCAGCCTAGACATTTCCCTCGTGCTCCTACTCAGTCACACTCCACCTTGCAGAAAAGCAGCCACTGACCCTATTCTGATCTGATTTGCTTACCCTAGATCTTCCTATCGATGGAATCATACAATATGTACGTTTTTGTGTACGTCTGGCTTCTTCACTCAGCGTGAGAGTTTTGAGAGTCACTGTGGTGCAGTGTGCCACAACAGTTAATTTTCATTCATAACAACGTGATATAAGCATTAAAAACGATAATGCACGTTATTACCTGCAAAGGGCGCTATAAAACATAGCTATGATTATTACTCAAAAGAGGAAGCCCCGGAATAAGGACTGTTGGGGCCAAGAGGAGGGAGAGCTACACGTGTCCTGGGCTAGAGTGTGTTTGGAGAAAGGGGCTCCCTGCCAGTGTCTCCCATATCACACTCTTTACATGCTAATGTCATCACATGCTATCAACACATATATTTGGCTTTCTTGGTCAAACTGGGTTGAATCCGGTCTACCAGACCAGAAATTAATTTTTTGCTCTGCAGAGATACCAAGAGGACATTCCGTGTACCGAAACATTCTATTTTGCCCACCACAGAGATGGTGCTCCTCCCATGTCAGATTACATTTGAGAGGCCAGTGTGTGAAAAGCCATCCATAACACTGTCATGGAACCAAAGCTCACATTATCAGTTCTGGCCAGCTGTGTAATTCAATTTTGCTAGGAGAATTTGAGCCTGGCCCTTGCCAGGAGGATGCCAATGTTGCATTCACAGAAGGTGATTTGGCCACAATAAATAAACCCACACTCCAGAAGGAAACTGAATCACTGGGTTATGTATTTTAAGTCCTTTCTTTCGGATGGAGACATTCCTCATTAAAAGCATAGTCTTCAAATCTAGATAGAGACAAGTACCAATCCCAAAGATTACTCCTAAGAACGACTCTTACAGGGTGAGATGCAAATATTAATTCCAAACCCTCGGGGAAAACCTTCAGAAAGCCTCTGTTAATTGAACTAACCGATGAACTTTGTAAATGGTCTCTTGCCCAAGAGGCAAGAGATTTCGATGAGATTCAAGAAACTTGAGCATTGGATAAAAATAAAATGTACACTCCACTTAAAAGCAAGCAAGACATCCTTCATTAACAGTTAGGATATACCTGACCCTGAATTGTACCCCACATCTTTAAAATAAAAACTTAAAAAAACCAGGCTAATGAACCAAATTTTCTTCTTCTCCTACAAGGATATTGTGAACCTAAAGAGACCAAACAAACACATGTTTGACTTTTGCGCATTTAGACTAAATTTGTTTTGAAGAAGTGAGTGGGTTAAGGTCAAGACTGAGTGACACTGAAAGCACCTTATTAAAGGAAATGGACTATGCATGTAGAGGAAAATGAAAAGAAGGAAAAGTTACAAGATAAAGGTCAGATTTTTTTTTTCTTTTTTTTGGTAATAATTTCCAAGTTGAGTATTGAAAGAGAATTCCGCTGTGATGGGGATTTATGTCTTTTGGATGCATGGGATTTCTCCAGTTTGTGCTGTTGTGTAGCTCATCTCTTCACAAAAAACCCAAGACTGCTGACAGATCAAGAGGTTTAACATCTCAGATCCTTTCAGCATTCAGCAAATGCAATAAATTTCAGAGGTGGCTTGTGCTGAACGTTAAGAACAGATGCTGTTTGTGCAGAAAGCAGGATGGAAACTTACACTTATAGGCTTGCTAGAACTTTGAGGAGACTTTCTTCTATACCTTGCTCTAAATGTGACTTGAAACCTTACACCATGGTATTTTAATAAAGCTTCATATCTTGATGTTTCCTTTAAGGGTATCATCCTTGCCCAAGTTGCCTTCTTAAGGGAAGAAGCTCAGGTCTTTTTCATGCTGGCTGTTTTAGGACTGAGCCCATTGCTGGCACTCAATAAATATTTGATGAATAAATGCACGAATAAACACAGGAACAAATTTTTCTACTACAAGCCGGTCTGCCACAGACTGCCTAAGGACGAAGCATATATTCTTTGCAGGATGCCATCATTATTCTTATCGTGATTATTGACAATATTCACTTGAAATATGCTTCAAAGCGTTTCCACACATTAGAAACCTTAAACGTTTATCCCTATTTAAACTATTCATATAATAGAATGTTATTTTCCACACGTGGTCTCACAGAGCCAAGTTGACTCCTTAGCCAACATCCTAGGCAAAATATTCTGTTTTTGTGAAGGTCAGTACTTGTAGTTTATTACTTATTCCAGCAGCTGACTTCACAAATACACATCCTCCCTCACTTGGGGGGAATGCTGGAGGTTAAGATGTAGGCTGCTATTTTTGGACAGCGGATGTTCTGGATTTTGATAGATAACAAGAACTTTTAGCCATCAGAAATGCCCACAGCTACAAGCTGTGAGTTCTGTCTCACTGCAGGTTTTCCACGGAGGCTGAAGTCCACTGGGTGGCATCTTGTAGAGGAATTAAGCATGATGTTGACATTCAGTTTACATGCCCTTGACCTTCCCTTCAATCCCAAATTCCCAAACCTCACAATACCGTGTGGGAAGCAAAAGGCTTTTCCAGCCCTATCAAGTGGTGTGGGGACTGCTGAACAAGTCACACAAGGGCATGAGGCCAGCTGAACCAGAGCCTGCGCCTCTCTGGGTAGGAATCTCCTTACTGATCTCCCCTCTGCAGTGTCCAGCACTCTCTGCAGAAGTGCCCAGGTTCCCAGAAGGGACCCTTCAGTTCATGGTGCCAGGTCCCCGAGTCTCTCCTTTTTCCCCTAAGAAAAGTGGGTCAGATTTCCCGTGCAAACCAATCACAGGCCATAGGAGGAGGCCCAGGAAGCACAGAGGATGCTAGCAAAATATATACACACTTAAAGAAAGGAAAAAACTGTACTAAAATTATCATACTCAATACGATGAATACAAGTCACGCTGGACTTCTGCAGTTACGAGAGGAGCTCAGAGTGGTTACCCTCAGCACCTAGACACTTCTGATGATGGCGAACATCTCTTAAAGTGTGTATACTTTTTTTGGCACCCCGGGATACTGGTTAGAATATTCTGATTCTGACCTGTAAGCCACTAAGGACCTCACTAATAGATGCAGTTCACTGTTCCTTGCAGCGCTGCCTGGATGACAGGAAGCATCACCTGCTCTCCCAGAGCTAGGAGGCAGCCCAGTGAACCCCCTTGCATGGGCCAGCTCTGTCTTGACGGTTCTCCACTGCACACATTGGGAGCTGGCACACAGAGCTCTTGCAGGGAGTGGCCCAAGCCGAAGAAATGCTTGCGTGACTCCAGTGGCCCAGGGAGCTGACAAAACTCACGCTCATCAGTGGCTTCTTTGGTCTCAATTTGCTACAACTACTCTTAGCTTTCGGCTCCACCCGTGATGAGCCTTCGAAGCACGGGGTTGCCTTTCCTCACCTCGGGGAAGTTTCCAGCCTTGCAGCCGAGGCTGGGCTGAGGTCTACACCGCTGGCGTGCATCGTTGGACTGACTCCTCTCCCGCACAGGTGCAGATGACCAAGAGTGGTATGCGGGGTGGAAGAGAGCCGGGGCCAAGCGAAGTTCTGCTCTGCTGCTCCAGATGCAGAAACAAGCCATGGTCAGAAGCTGGTTACTCCCACGTGTTTGAAGAGAGGGTCTGCAGGGCACTTTCAGAGAAAACAAAAACCACATGGGAAGCGACGCCCTCTCTTCTCCATGGCTCAAAGAAGAGAGCACTTCTCTAGTGCCAAGGTCAAGCTTCTGTTGGAAGAACAAAGTCCCTCAAGGTGTCCGTCCATCAGCTCCCAGCAGTCCTGCCCTGAACCAGGTAGAAGGGCCTCGGCCCCGCTCTCAGAGCATTCAGTTCTGGACTTTCTCTGGCCATGCCCTTCCTCACTGGAGGGAGCCCCTCAGGCCACGGGGACGTGAGTTGGACCCTGGCACTGCCTGCCTAATGGTCCCTCGCTTGGGCCCAGGGCCTGTGAGCCTCTCTCCTCTGAGTCTGTGCTCCTGAGGGCCGCTTTGCCCCGCGTGCCAGCCTCCAGGCACAAGGACAGCAAAGGGACATGTGTTCTCGGGGGCAGGGCGTAGATAGAGCTTGTGTGGGCCGAGATGTGCACACACGAGAGCAGGACGCGTGCTGCAGCTGTGGAGCCAGGCACAGAGAGAGGGGCCGGCTTCAGGCCCCAGCACTCTCCCTGGCCTCTCCCCAGCTCCCTCCGTCAGGCTCTGGTGAGGGAGGCAGCCAAATACATTGCCTTTGGCGTCTATCAGTGTGTGGCCCTGCATGCACACTCCTCCCGAGCTCTGAAGATATTAGGGATGGGCCTGTGGCGACCACACGTCTCGCCTACAAACTGCTTCGGGGGGGGGCGATAAAAAAGAAGGACCAAGAGTGGTGTGGGGGTAGGAGGTGAGGCTGTGAGGCTGGGTAAGAAGTGCGGGTGCGGGGCCAGGGGGCGGTGAAGGTGTGGGCTGGGTAGGGGGTGCTCTGGAGCAACTAGAGCCAACTAAGAAGAGGAGTCAAGACCACCAGGAAGAAATCAAAATACAGCACCCCTTCCCCCATGGCTCCCTACAGACTCTAAATGTTATAAGTGCTAAGGTAGGAGTGTCAATTATATTCAAGGACTGCCCGGCCTTGACCTTGTGATTCCAGAACAACTTAGATACTGTGACTAGGAAACTGCAACGAAGGTCATCGATCAGAACTTGCTTCAAATCCTGTCTCTCACGTCTCAGAACCAGACGGCAGGGCAAAAGGCAGGTTGTGCAACAGCAGACAACGGAACCGAGAAGTGCCTGGTGAGACTGGTGATCACAGTTTTCCATAGCCAGGTTCCAGCCTGTCACTCCCAGCCCTCCCTCACTCCCCTGCACGAGTTCTCTGCGCCAGACACACTACTGGCGTCTCAGGTGCGTGGCCACGTGGTGGGGCCACGTCTGTCCACCGTCTCCCCAGGAGGAAGGGCTGTCTGGGGGCCTTTCTGCTGTCATCCCTGCCCCAGGGGCAGGGGACGACTCTTCCCGAGGGCTGTGACACTCAGCTGAAGAAGGCGGCCTCGCTGTGGAGCTCTGTCTTGGTCTGCCTTTCCCCAAAAGCAGAAACTGAGACAAGGACTTGGGGCAGGTGGTTTACGTGGGAGGCGATTCTACAAAACACAGGCAGGCTATGGAGAGAAAGATGGGCCAAGGAGGAAAGCCCGCACGGCGTGCTGGCATCTGGGGTCCTCACTGGCTCTACTTCTCCACCTAGACCTCACCTTCACATCGCTTCCCAAGCCAAAGCCAACTCGTCCTGACCCTTTTCCCTCAAACTCTGTGAATGGTGGGCAGGCGCAGAAAGCCAAAGCGCTGGCCCTCCTACTTGTAAAACAACTTCAACTGTCCACATATTTCCATTAAAATGTTATGCCTACTTCCAGGATTAGAACACAGCTTTCAAATCCTCTAGGACACGTGGGCAACCATGGAACCTCCTGGTGACAGGCAACGCAATAAATATGTGGATGAGGACAAGCTGTGGCAGGACAAGATGCCTCACATCACCAGACTCGCATCACCTCCTGGGTGCCAGGGCCAGGGCAGCCCTGCTACGTCCTAAGACTGGGGGGCAAACCCCCACATGCACTCTGGGGCAGCCCACTCCCAAGCATTGGCGACCTCTCCTGGCACCTGAACTCTGAAGCTCTCCTCTCCCCCCAGTTCCTCACTTGGCCCCTGTCGGGGTCCTACATTCCCCCTGGGTTCTCACAGGAGCCATGACAGGCCAGAAGGGATAGGTCGATGCACTCTCGGCGCAACAATGGCCAGCCAGTGCCAGGGCATCCTGACTCTTTGACCTTGTGACCTTGTTCTGAGAGCTGGGTCTTCTCCCTCCTCCTCAGATCTGCTGCCATCTGCAGCTTCTATGTGTGCAAATGAACCCAACTCCCCAAACCACGACGGAACCTTCGGCTGCCGGCTCAGGTGGGCACGTCAGAGACTGGCTTTCCCTTTTTGCCCGCCCCAGGGCCATGACCTGCGTCCAAGACTGAGTTATGACCAGACATATTACAGCTTCACACAAGCGCTATGAAGAGCATTGGCAGGATCTCGCAAACCCAGCTGGAAAAAGATCAGGTCAAATGTCTTCTGTGCAGCTGTAACTTGGGCTAATCAGAAAACAAGGGCGCCTGGTTGTAGGGAACTGCAATGCCTCGGCAGGAGTGCATAGGAAGATGGACCACAGCCATCTGGGGTGAGGAAGAGCGGTCAGTCGCTGTACCCTCCACACACAGGAGCCTCTACACCCCCGTCAGCAAGTCTTCTCCAAGAGCCTTCTCGGTCCTGTGCTGAGCTTGGGCGGCAGCTTAGGAGACCTAAGTCAAGCATGAGAAGTCATCTTCTGACTATTAAATGCTTGGTGTATTCCTGAGGCAGCCGTGGGTAGCCTCCCTGTGTTGCAGCGCTTATAAATGTGCTGGCTGTCAGAGGAAGCTAAACCAGTGATGTCCTTCCTAGCCAAACTCCAGAAAACCCCAGGGTGTCATGGAACCCTAGATTTCTAGAAAGCATGCTTTGAGGGATTATACAAATCTCTGGTTAGGATTTCACTTTGACATTACAATTTACTTTGGACTATTTTTTAAAAGGTAACAAAAAGTGGCACCCATGCACGTAAGCGTACCAAACACAAAACTTGGACTCGTGGGCGAACCAAGGCTTGGGCTGCTGCCACAAGGTTAATTCATTTGGGGCCGACCTTGAAATCAAGCTTCTCCCACAGCAAGCGTTGAGCTAATTGGAGAGCCTCTGCTCCACCATGATGCCCGCTTACACATTCCTATGCAGACCTCCCACTCCCGTGAAATCAAAACAAGATGCTGGGGCTCACATGAAGCCTCAACTGCCATCCCTAAGCTGCAATTAAAACTGCTGTCTGCCTGAACCAGCCTTATTATTCTAATTGGCTGGCTGTTTAATGAGTCCATGTGACAAAGCTACACTTATGAAATAAATTCAGATACATAAAACCCTAATGTCACTTTTACTTATGCTATCTATTGATTTTACATAGATTTATTTAGAAAAAAATGAGTCATAGTTAAAAATAAATTTGAGAACATTAGTTTAAATAAAGGTGGGTGGTGACTTCAAAATTCACTCCCAATCTGATTATTTTACCACAACACGTGTTCCAACTATATCAGAAAAATGATATTTTAATATGAAAGGCTCATCATGGATGGTATTGAACAAATCAGGTTCAAATAAGCTATATGCTATATTTTATAAATGGTATGTGCGTACATGCATGTGCACATAAATACATATATACTGCGTATACCTTATGCTTAGAAAAGACTGAAAATATACATGCCAATGTAACAAACTATACCAAAAGACAATTACAATTATTTTCAGAAAGCAAAAAAAGAGAGAGAGATGACAATTCCTCCGTCTAGAAGGCAGAGTGTGATCAGCATTATTTCCAGAGGCGGAAAGTAAGTAAATGTGTGCGACGAGCCCACTCCGTGATCCTCAACTCACTCCTAGTCAGGCATGTGGAGACACACGAACACAAGCAGTTTTGTGGCCTGGCTCAGACATCCAGGCAGCTGGGCCCAAGTTCTAATTCTGTTCCTCAGAATCCATATAATTCTTGACCTCTCCCAATCTCAGATGTTCTCGTCCACAAAACAGAGATACTATACTAATACCCGCCAGCAGGACTGCCATGAAGACCATGACACATGTTTAGAGCCCCACCTAGCACATACTGAGCATCCAGGAAATGGAAGCTATCGTTACAACTGGGAAATGGCTCCTGCCACAGGGTGCTTTCGATCCAGCAGGGAAGGCAGCAGACACATGGGCAGATGGATTATGCTACAGTCCACTGTCACTGTCATAGGAGTTCGGGCAGCGTGTTTTGGGAACTCAAAAGAGGCAGGCTTAACAGGTTGGAGCCGGGTGTCTGAAGCCCAGGCTCATCCTCCGTGAAAGAGACCCCCTCAGGCTCTGCCAAGACTTTGGGTTCCTGAAGCCAGAAGGAAACCTATGGAAAACCGCAGAGAGCAGCAGGCTTTGGAGACTCATCAGCCTTCCTGCTGTAGGTTCAGTCTGGGCCCCTGCACGGGGCCCGGTTGCAGGGGACCCTGGGGCATATGTGGGCAGCTCGGCCAGTCAGAGCTCAGGTGCTCCCTGACAGCGTTCGGACTTCGAGAGGAGCGGCAGCTGCAGGCCGGGCCTGCCTGCTTTAGCTAGTCCCATTACGTGCCTTCACTGCTGCTAGACAGCACAGAGTCCCATCATCCCGGTCGCCTGCCAGGCCGGGGCCTGCGTCTCCGGCAACTCCAGATGAAGGTCTGTCCACACACGCACACCACCTGAGCTCCTCAGCTCACACCACGTTCCCGCCTTTGAGCCTGAAAGCTACTTTCAGCCGAGATTTCCTTCGAGGGAACATGGAGCAGAGGTTTGAGCGGCTGGGAGGAAAGGAAGCATCAGGTGACCAAGCGTCAGCTGCAAGTGAGCGCACAAATCCCTACACCCAGTGTAAGATTTGAGTTTTGGAAACCATTTTTTTGTTTTTGTTTGTGTTGTTCTAACGAGATGGGCAGCAGAGAAGAGAG